GTACGGATAGTATCTGTTCTCCTTTCAAGGGACGTGTTGACTTGGTATATCCACAGGAACTCGACACTCGTTGCTCGATCAGCGTCACTGATGATATGACGGTGTGCCCCGGCTGTGGGCTGTGGGCTCGGACCAGATCGAGACGAGACGACTCTGTCAATCCACGAGCACGTGCAGCTCTTGGATTAGGATTTACCTTGGCCCTCGCTCCAAGTGTCACAAGGAAAATGCAGTTCTGTCGCTTGTAACGTAAACAAAAGAAACTAAATAAAGCATGTGGCAAGAAAGAGAACGAGGACTTGCATGAGGGGTTTTTGCGTGGAAGCTACGTGCCGCGCCGACCATTCTGCTGTACTAAGGACGTCGTTAAACGGGAACATACAAATCCCTAGCTAGATGTTGCCTGAAAATAATAATAATAAAAAATATCGGAGCGAAGAGCTGTGCAAGCTGTGTAGAGTATTTCTGAGAGATCCCGTGAAATTAGCCTCCTTTAGACTCGCTAGCTCTTTAATATCTTAATAGCCAGTAGAATTTTTTCTTGATTTTTGGAAACCTCGCAATTTTGGAGTCTTGATTTTATTTTTATAAGGGATGCGTTGGATACGTGCTCCGTATCTACAGACCACAGCGTTATAAAGACCGACCGTCCGTCCCCAACCCCAACGCTGCCGGCCCCCGGCGCCGCTGTTTTGCTTTTATTTGCCGGCCACGCCACGTCACGTCAAAGGCGGTTATTTAGATCCATTTTCCTGTCCCGGACTGCTTCGCCAGTATTGTATTTGACAGCAGCGTCCGTGGACTAACCAGGCCCGTCCGATTTCAAGAGTAATTAGTTAGCCCCTACCTACGCCTGGATCAAAAATGATGCAGATGAGAGAGTGAAAAAACTTAGCCCAAGTCCTGTCGTCCGTCCGTTCCAGAGACCAGAGCCCCGGACTGAGCAGCGGCCCAGAGGGCAGCGCCGTCCGTCCGTCCGTTCCAGAGACCAGAGCCCCTGCCTGCCTGGATCCTGGAGCAGCGGCGGGTGGGCGTCCGCACGCAAGGTCGATCTCATCCGTCGCCCGCGCGGACCGACGGCCAGGATGAGACGGACGCTCCGGATAAATCCCGGGGCGAGAGGCCGTGTCATGTCGGCCGCCACCAAACCCTGTAACCTGCACCTGCCCGAGGGGCCGGGCCCCACCACGAGACGGCGTCTGCGTCTCGCTTTGCACAGTGCAGTGCCTTTCCTATGTCTGATGAAAAAGAAAACGGCCACGTCATCTTTCCTTGGTTGCCTAGCTGTGGCTGGGGTCCAGGCCACACGACCGTGCATGAGATGGCACTGGCACGTACCACTTTTTTTTTTTCTCCACTCTCTAGGAAATGTGTTCATGTTGAGTACAAACAAACAGCCTATTTGTCCCTAGATTTTATCAGACAAAAGAGTATTATGTGCGTTAGGTTACGTGTATATATTGTAGTAGCTTATTGCATCGTTCTACGAGGGTCGTATTTTTTTTCCTCGGGAGAAAAAAAAGGTGCGTGATGAAATTCTAAAACGTCGAGATGCATTCAAAAGGTGCAGGTCTTGCTCAACCAATCCACGGAAAAGGTAGAGAGAGGATTGGACACGAGTGGTGGGCGACACGTTTTGAAAAGCAGCCGGATTAAGGCGCGGTATGGGTCGCATTTTTTGGTAGGTTATCTCGTGGAGAATGAAAATATGACATTTTGTCCTTATGTCTAGCTAGCGTTGGTTTGGATGGTTTTAAGTTAGCTCAACCACACGAGTCTCGGCTCATAAGAATTGTTTATATATACTTTTGTGGCAACAACATCCATCTCTTAGGCAAAGCTAGAAAAAAAAGGTTGAGTTAACAATAGGCGGACAAAATAACTAAAAGGTTAGTCTTTGCCTAAACAACCTTGATTAACTAAGCTTAATTGTGGCAAACTTATGCAGCAATCAAGCGTAGCCTAAATCACGAAATTAATTTGCAAAAAATGCTATTTTTAGCTTTTAGGAGTGAAGATCTTTTTGCCCTCATCCCAACCCAAATAGGTGAAGGAAAATGTTTGATGACAAGTGTGAGTTAGTTTGTCAACACGAGGTTGCCTCCTAGTCCCTCGTGCCGTCATCGCCACTGCCCCTTACGATAACCGTGACCTCCCTCCCTCCTTCCTGTGTGGCGGCCACGCCAACAGGGAAGGAAGAGTGGGGACCTCTCTCCGTCATTCGGGTCTAATATAGGTTTTAGAGTTTTAGATTATTGTCGGGTTCATAAACTAGGGGTCCCCAATGAACCCGCTTCCCTGCAAAAAACTCAGCCCAGCAGACGGCGTTGCGACAACGCGCGCCTCCCGGGCCGGCCCAGATACATAATGACAGGCCAGGGCAACGATCCGGTCCCCGACCGGAAGGCCTGGCCAAGGTGGGGACACAGTCCAACTCCGACCTCCTTTTTCCAACCGGGGATACGCCGGACCTTTGCTCATGGTTCTTCCCCGACCGACACGGTCGGAGCCAACTGGAAACAACCGATCGGGGACGACCGCTCGGTGAGGGCCTAGGGATCAGGCAAAGCAGATAAGGTAAGGCGTCCAAGTCAACCGCAACACCGAGGATCGTACCCTGCCATGCCCTGCGCACCTTCAGGACGGTGCCACCAGGCCATGCCAGACGAGCACTATGCAACCTTCTAGGCGTGTCAGAGTACAAACAGTATTGTAGGCGTCGACGTTTGCCGTACCAGGCGAACACGGTAGAGCCTGCCACATACGTCTGTCATAAACAGTATTGTGGGCGCCGACGACCGTCTCGTACCCGACAGCATGGGCAACAAAACTAGGTAGCACACGTATCCATTCTCTCTTTCTCTAACTTGTAAGGCCATCCCCTTCAACTATAAAAGGGGATGCGCTCTCTCCTCTCTGAAGACATTCTCTCGGCTCTCCAAAGAAAAGAGGCTAGACGTTTTCTCTGGCTCTAGGCAACCTGAGCACTCGAACAACTCAACGGTTCTAGAACTCCACAGCTACACAGAGCATACGCTCCAATACTTAGCGCATGTTAGAGCACCCGTCACTCTCGCCCATTCGGTTCAGAGTCCGACCGGGCCTCTAACACCCCCTTTCTCATTCCTACTCGTTTGTAACCCACAACAAACTTGGAGCACCTAGGATCAGGAATAAAGTCACCGACCGACCGAAACTGGACGTAGAGCACGTTGCCTGAAAACTAGACGTAGGGCACGTTGCCTGAACCAGTATAAAATCCTGTGTCATTGAGTACTAGGCCACATCCGACCACAACGCACGACAAAACTATAAATATTTACTTATTGGTCACTTTTCACACCCACAATTACATTGAATAAAAGCCTATTTCATGGACTGACGTCCGGCATCGTCTTCATCGATTGCTCATCGGATCTTGTTTATCCTAGAGATCCCTGGTGCGGGTGCCGTTCTGGACATCTAATCCAGTGGTCTTCATGATGCTTATATTTTTGTAGGGTCGATGCGTTTCGAGGGTGACCGAGTTCCCCGTTTGCATCTGTGTTATCGGCTTGCCGGATTTCGATGTTGCGACCGCCGGGCAGGTATCCAAGTTTCTAGATCCTGCAGTGCTGGTACTAGCGACGCTGGATTGATTGTCCCTCGATCGTCTTCAACGACGATACGGTTGATTTTTTTTGTCATGTCAGACGCGTCTCAGAAAGTTTTTGTGGTGTCGCATCATGCAGTGTATTCAAGTTTTGGTGGCTCTTGTAACGGATGCTTGAGGGTATTCAAGTGTACTAAATTGGTGAGATTAGACAATGTAACGGATGTAAATTTGAGGGTTACTATGCTTCGTTTTTTTGACAAATGTTGCGGGTGTACTAAATTCCAACGGACTGAGATTAGTTATTTTTTTACCTATATTTAACAATCGTCAAAATGATTTAGAGAGAGGCGAAAAAACTTGGAATTTGGAGGTGATCTAAACAAGGCCATGATTTAGAGGCGAACATTGTTACAAGAAACTCTAGATATCTATTTCTTTACGTTGAGATCCATGTAGTTATGATATCGTATTAATAGAGACTCAAGATATCTATTTCTTTATGTCGAGATGCATGTAGTTATGATATCGTATCTTATTAATAGAATCCAAAAGAAAATAATTTTTCCCCATCCTACTAGTAGTACATAGGGCGTGTTTAGTTCCGATTTTTTTTTTTACTTTTAGCTACTATAGCACTTTCGTTTATATTTGGTAAAAATTGTTCAATTATGACTACGGAAAACCCTCCGGCTCAATGAGTTTTTTTTTTATCTACATTTTATTTTTATATATATTAACAAATTCTAAACGAGGCCATAGTTTCATGATGTACGGAAAAACCCTCCGGCTCAATGAGTGCCAGTATTATTTTATATATATTAAAAATTAAAGTGCGGGAAAAAGAAAAGAGCAACAGGCGGCGGGCGCAGCTGTCTCGAACCTGCTCCCCGTTAATCAGTTTTCTTTACTGGCTGCTGTCCATTTACTAATCAAATCATCGTCCCCTTCCCCCCCTCCCCTCCCCTTGTTTTCCCTTCCGCGTCTACTCTCCTCCCTCTGTCTTCTTGCCTCTTCTTGCCTCCCCTCCCCTCCCCTACCCCACCCGCCGCTTCCCGCCCCCGCGCCCTCGCCGAGACGGCTAGGAATTTTGCTCGGAGAAAAGAGTGTTTTTTCTCCCTTACCGTTTCTCCGGATCCGGGTCCGCCGCTGTTTCGTCCCTCGCCGGTTTTGCTTGATTTAGATTCCATTTCTGTTCGTTCGTTCTTGTCCCCTTGTTCGTTCGTTCGATTGGAGCTACCCGCCGCCCGGATTCCTTGGTGCGCCGCCTGGATCTGGCCTCGCTGAGCCCCGGCTGCCCCGACTCCCGATTCGATTCGGCCCCCGCGCGGTGCCCTTCCTTCCGAGGCGTGCTCGGATCTCGTCGGAGTAGAGGGGAACGAAGCCTCTCGATTCGCCTCGGGGCGAGATGGATCATGTGGTCGGGGGCAAGTTCAAGCTCGGCAAGAAGATCGGGAGTGGATCGTTCGGGGAGCTCTTCCTCGGTGAGTTCCCTGGCTGTCCCTTCTCCTCGCGGATTGATAAGATCCCGACCCCATAGTTTTCTGGGAGGAAAGATGCTCACTTTGTTTGCTATTGTTGCTCGCAGCTGTGAATGTGCAGACTGGAGAGGAGGTCGCCGTCAAGCTGGTATTGGATTCTCTCCGATTGCTATTTATTTGTTACCATACCATAGAATTTGCCATGTCGGTCTATTTCGTGATAAGATCACTGAGATGCAAAAATCTAACGAAATGAAATGATGATGGTCCATTTCGGTACTGTTTGTCAACACTGTTAACTGTTTGGGTTGGTGGAACCGATTGTCATTGGTGTAAGCTGCTTTTATTGCACAGGAAAATGTCAAGACAAAGCACCCACAGCTTCATTACGAGTCGAAGCTATACATGCTTCTCCAAGGAGGAAGTAAGTTAATGCAATAGAGCCTATCCACCCATCCAGTTTTAGTTATGGGACGGTACTCTTTGGTTAGTTAGTTGCTAGTATGATGCATGAGTTGGGCTGACCTTTTTGCCCCTTTTTGTTTCGTTACAGCCGGCATTCCACACCTGAAGTGGTTCGGCGTTGAGGGGGAGTATAATGTGATGGTGATTGATCTTCTTGGTCCTAGCCTCGAGGACTTGTTCAACTATTGCAGTAGGAAGTTCTCTCTTAAGACTGTGCTCATGCTTGCTGACCAAATGGTGAACACCGAATCCCAGATTTTTTTTAAACTGTTCAAATTTGTTTCTTAACTTTAATCTCAGTTTGTTGTGCATAGGGCTGTCCTCTTTGTCTTAACTCTGTGAATTGCTAGTGTTAACACATTCCTTATTTGTCTTTCAGATTAACCGGGTTGAGTACATGCATCAAAAGGGGTTTCTTCACCGTGATATAAAGCCTGATAATTTCCTTATGGGGCTTGGTAGGAAAGCCAATCAGGTATGATCCTATATATGTGCTTAATTCTTGCTGTCCAACTCATTATATTTGAACCAAATGTCTTTATGTGCATTCTGCCTCTTGCTTTGCTTGTGCTGCACTTGAAAAGCCCCAAAGATTCTGCACTAGTGATTTGGCTGGGTGGGGGTTAGTGCGTTATGTTATGTATTGGTTACATTCGACGATGATTTCCTTAGCGTGCTTGTATTTTACAGTCTGCTACCTATAATTTATTTCTTTGTCTTTGGCTAATGCTGGATGGTTTCCTTAGCTATATAGCTGCCAATATGTTATATTCCAGAAAACGCCTCTTCTCTGGAATTGAGATCTCTTGGTCTAATTATTGTTGAACTTACTGGCTTTTGTGGCAGGTATATATAATAGACTATGGACTCGCAAAGAAATATAGGGACCTTCAAACTCATAAGCACATCCCGTACAGGTTGGTTGACATTTCTCATCTGGGTTGCTAAATACACTTAGTAAATGCTACATGTCGATTTTTCTTCAAAAAAATGTATGAAGTTATGTGCAGTCATGCACAATGGTACTATGCCAAAACACTGTTCTTGTAGTTTTATGATGATGGGATGCTCATTTCAATATGCAGAGAGAACAAGAACCTCACTGGAACTGCACGATATGCAAGTGTCAATACCCACCTTGGCGTTGGTGAGTTTCTGGTTTCATCTGGCTAACTAGTTGAGTTAGACTTTGCATAACCTCAGAGCTTACTTGGGTGCAGAGCAAAGCAGGAGAGATGATTTAGAATCTCTCGGTTATGTTCTTATGTACTTCCTTAGGGGCAGGTTAGTTGGTCAACAATCTTTTCACCTGTCTGTTGCAATGGTTCGGTTGGTTCCACACATGTTTCTGTGAATGGATTTAACATTTCATTGGTATTTTTGTCTTTGAACAGCCTACCATGGCAGGGGCTGAAAGCAGGAACCAAGAAGCAGAAATATGACAAAATCAGTGAGAAAAAGATGCTTACTCCCGTGGAGGTGGCTCATAAATTCACTCTTGCTAATTCATTATTTGTAAGGACTGCAGTAGGCAGACATTCATGAATTGTTTATTATGGGTTAGGTACTCTGCAAATCGTATCCATCAGAGTTTATCTCCTATTTCCACTACTGTCGTTCATTGCGGTTTGAAGACAAGCCTGATTATTCTTACCTGAAGAGACTATTCCGTGATCTCTTTATTCGGGAAGGTATAATTTTAGTGCACATGCTTATTCTTTTGGTATTTTTTCTACCAGGACATCCTGTTATTTGTATTTCTAATTGTGTCACTAATGCAGGATACCAGTTTGACTATGTGTTTGACTGGACCATTTTGAAGTATCCTCAGATAGGCTCCAACCCGCGGATGAGGGTGTGCAATCGTCTTGTGTTTCTGTTTGATGTACGTTTTGTAGTTTGTTGGACTTATCCCATCTGTTTGTCATTGCTTAGGCAGGGGAAAGAACTAGTGGAGCTGCTGGACCCTCAATGGATAAGATATCGAAAAAATGTGTAACTATGATACAAACCGGACACATGTTTGAGCATGATTTTTGTGCAGGAGAAGCGTCCGGTAGAAGGAATCCTAGTGGTTCTGTGAATCAGAGTGACAATTATGCACAACGACCACGTGAGACAGTATCTATGTCACTAAAGGAAATTGTAAGTTAAACTTCCCTTCGCCTCTTGTATTATCTATGAACATTCAGTGCTGTTGTGTCTTTGCTCATGCAGTCCTCACATATCTCATGAGCTTTAATCACGCATTACCCATTTCTCCAGATGCATAGCACTGACCGGTCTGGGGAAAGGACTGTGGAGAGACCACGTACATCCTCACGCACAGGCAGTGCATCCCGTAGAGCTGTTGCATCAAGCAGCAGGCCAGCCTCATCTGTGGAACCAAGTGAGCAGCAGTATAACCGGACAAGCAGATTGTTCTCTAGCAACAGTGGCAGTCGCCCATCTAGCACCCAGAGAGTTAACCCATCGCCAGGCGAGTCAAGGGCTACCTTCCTCTCACAGGCGGCAGTTGCGAGAGGCTCCCGTGACGAGCCACTCCAACGCAGCCTGGAGCTTCTGTCCCTCGGTGGTGGTAAAAGGAAATAGTGGGAAAGAAGGAAGCGGGCATCTGAGAGCGGAAGGAAGAAGTGCTTGTTTGCGACTCTGTAAATGACAGGATATCACCTATTCGTCAACAGTTACCCTGGGGCATCCCATAATTTCATAGTGCTCCGGTCTGTTGTACCATTGCTTCATAGATAGCAATAATTCGTTGTTAAATGTGTGCGTGTTGCAGTTGTTGTTGCGTTAGGGCCAAGTCCTAGCCTCTGATGATTAAATTTAGGGGTGGTCAAGATTCACATATTTATGTTTCTTCACCCCTCTCCTGGACTTGGCGACTTTTTCCTCCCGAGACAAGTGCTCGTTCATTTCTATGTTGAACTCTGAATTTGCTTATTCAACAGAAGTTGATAAAAAAGGGGACTTCCTGTGTAAATCGATGCCTCCTTGTTTTCATATAATGCTACAGTGTCATGGCATGTCAGTAGTTGGGACAAAAACTGTATGTAAAGCTGTACAGGATTGCATGATATATCATGTGAAACAGAATCAAAATCTTGCTATAGCAAGATAATGAAAAGCATAGCACCGTTGCAGGCTACTGTGCTGTCTACTCTCTGTTTCAAAATATTTTCGTTTCTTGAAAAATAACTTTGACTAAATATATATATAAAAATATTAATATTTATAATACATAATTAATATAATTAGATAGATATTTAAATTTAGTTTTTTAATAAATTTATTTAGGAATAAAAATGTTATACGTATTTTTAATAAATCGAGTCACACTCTTGGCACGGAAACTAACGGCGACGGATAATTTGGGGGTAGAGGGAGGTCAACCATGGTGCAGGTTTGAGCATGAGAGAGCGAAAATGTTAGCTGACTGATGAGACTGTGGCCAGCTCAAAGGGTCCTGGGGATTTTGGGCCAGAATTTTTTTACCACTTCTCATTCATGGCCCAATAGGCCAACCCTAGCCCAGCACCTGGGTGTTGCCTGAGGCCTGAGCTGGCTGAGCCTCACGCCCCTCCGCCTCCCGACTCCGCGCCAGCTAGCGTGTGTGACTCCGGGTCTTGCGCCGCCCTTCCCCGTTCCTCACGGGTCTTGCAGCCGCACAGAGTTGACTAACAGGGTGGCCCGAACCCATCTCCGCAGCCGGCGACCGGGGAACGCGAACGGACTCTAGGTTAAGCTTAACCCTAGAGCGAGAGAGGGCGAGAGAGGTCAGCCGCAGCCGGAGGCGATGGAGGTGGTGGCGCTGGTGAGCGGCGGCAAGGACAGCTGCTTCGCCATGATGCGATGCATGGACTACGGCCACAAGGCAAGGCTCCACTCGTTCACCCCGCACAACGTCCGCCCCTCGCCCACGGCTGGCACCGTGTTGAACTCTGCTGTTGCTTGCAGGTTGTCGCTTTGGCTAATCTTACCCCCCTCGACGACTCCGTCGATGAGCTCGACAGCTACATGTACCAAACTGTATGCTCCCTCCCCTCACTGGCACCTGGTACTCGCTCTGTAATTCGGCCATTAGTAGTTGCTGGTATCTGGATGACGCTTGCTGATGCTCCTGCTTCTTGTGGCCGGGGTCGGGGAGGCTTCAGGTTGGGCACCAGATTGTGGTGAGCTACGCGAAATGCATGGGACTGCCTCTTTTCCGGAGGCGCATTCGTGGATCCACAAGGCAAGCTATCTCTGCGGGCCTATGACTGGGATGTTCTACAAATGATCCGGTTCCATTGATTCAAATTTTTTTTTGTTTTGTTTTGGTATAGGGATCAGGGTCTCAAGTATAGTGTCACGGCGGGTGATGAGGTAGAAGATATGTTTGCTCTGTTGAGCGAGGTTAAACGGCAAATTCCATCCATCAGCGCAGTGTCGTCAGGTGCGATCGCATCTGATTACCAGAGGCTCCGGGTTGAGAGTGTTTGCTCGAGGCTGGGCCTGGTCTCGCTGGCGTATCTATGGAAGCAGGATCAGACTTTGCTCCTAGAGGAAATGGTACTACGAAAAATCCTGTTTATTGTTTTTACCTGATCACCTGAACTAGTACAGAAAGAATGTCTGCTCACATTGTAAGTCTTGCTATGCTGTTTACTGCTTACACAGATAAGAAGGGGCATCGTGGCAATAATTGTGAAGGTACATATTGTATTCATATGTTTACAAGATTTAGCATTTGTTGCAGTACAATGAGCTCCTGATTTCTTGAGCTTTGTAGGTTGCTGCACTGGGGTTGAAACCTTCTTCTCACTTAGGTAAAGAACTGGCTGAACTTAAGTGTCATCTGCTCCAAATGAATGAGTATGTTTCTCACCACCCTGCACCTACCATATGTGTATCAGTCTATCCCCCACTTAGGAGGATTCATGTTAAAATAGTTGTTTCTTGTCCCTTTATCAGAAGTTGTCCAACCATCTTCTAGTGATCTCTGATCAATAACCAAGTAGTCTCAAGATATGAGATAACATAGATTGTAATTTTACCCTTATCTTCATGTTTGTTTCTCACAAATGATTTTCTAAATAAATACTGGATAGTTTATTTTGTATACTCAGCTTTTAATTTCTCTGTTTGTTTTCTTATGCCCTATTAGGAGTTATGGAATCAATGTGTGTGGTGAAGGTGGAGAATATGAAACACTAACTCTTGACTGCCCTCTATTTCGTGTAAGTCTGAGCCTTTGAGGAGCTAACTGAAAACCTGATGCCACTTGTTCTAGAATGCTGTGTAATAGACTCGAACCATTGCATCACATGGCGACTTGTTATTAGTTCTTACTGTCTACGTGCTGAACATATTTATCAACTTTTGTCAACCATCCATGTCAAATTTCTTGCGCCTTAACATGTGTGTACTTACAGAATGCAAGAATTATTCTCAATGACTCTGAAGTGATACTCCACTCTGCTGACTCCATTGCTTCTGTTGGAATTCTTCATCCACGAGCGTTTCATCTTGAGCACAAGCCAGATTCATCCGATAGAATTGAGGATGGTTCTGTTACTCAAGAGAGTTCTAGTTGTCTATATGAGGTTGATGAAGTTATCACTCACGCTGATGTGGAAGAAAAACAGTCCCCAAGTCCAGCTGTTGATGCTTGTACCAATATAGACCTATGTATCTCAAAGACAGGGAAGAATTTACGTTCAATTGGCTGTTGGATTCAGGATCCATCCAGAGCTTCGGAAGGTGCATACTGTCATCCTATGTTATTCGATTGGCATTGTTCTTTGCACCACGTGACACGGTGACAGGAACACCTCATTACATCTATTGTTTCTTTCTTTGTGGAACATTCATTTAATAATCTATTGCATCAATAGGCCTGAAGGCAGACCTTGTAGCAGTTTTGAGCAGAATTGAAAATCAGCTCAAGGAAGAAGGGTTAGGTTGGGTGAATGTTTTATATGTTCACCTCTACATTTCAAGCATGAAGGAATTTGGATTGGCCAATGAAGTTTATGTCAGCTTTATTACGGAAAAGAAATGCTACCTGGGTGTCCCTTCGCGCAGTACAATTGAATTGCCACTAGTTCAGGGTGGGTTGGGCAAAGCATATGTGGAAGTTCTAGTTTCAAATGAGGTGGTAAAGAGAGTTCTACATGTGCAAAGCATCTCTTGCTGGGCTCCTAGTTGCATTGGACCTTATAGCCAGGTACAAGTGCACGCGTTGATATCAATTTTGCATATGCGCCCTCTGATGTGAAATATCAGCCCATTTTCTTGAGAATGGTGGTTTCACAATATAACGTGTTGCTTGTCTTTTTTTAGTTATTTTTTTGGGTAAGATATTAATTTTAGGTCATAATGTTTTGATCTCTTTCCTTTTAGGCAACTCTTTATGAAGAGATTCTCTATATGGCTGGTCAGCTGGGGCTTGACCCTCCTACGATGAAGCTCTGTCCTGGAGGTCCAAGAGCTGAACTAGAATCAGCACTAAAAAATAGTGAAGCTGTGGCTAATGCCTTTAGCTGCTCTATATATTCCTCGGCCATACACTTTCTGGTGTACTGCTCTGCACAGTTGACATCCAATGAGAAGGAAGAAGTTGAACAGACATTGAAGAGTTCTTATATTACTCATTTGGATTGCTCGAAAGCTGTATCATCTCCAACTGTTCTATATGTGTTTGCACCAGATCTTCCAAAAGGGTATGTACATCTTCCCTTTTATATCCGATCAAGAAAGCAATATTCTTTGGACTGATATATTTGAAATGTGCAATAAGATGGTTTTCTGAACTTTGTCCGAATGTTTTTTTCCCCTTTTTAAGAGCACGTGTGGAGATAAAGCCTATATTGTATGTCCCCTCCAATGATGATGGGGTTGCTACCATAGAGATGGAGACTGGAGTTCCACTGCCAACACTGAGCAAAGCTTGGACTGATTTGAGTGCACTATACTCTGAGTTGTGTGATTCATGTTGCCAGGTCCACACAATTGGTGGGAGAATTTGTTCTGCTGTGGTGTCGCTCACAGATGATATCGTATCAAAGATCTGTTCTACAGCTGGACAGCTATACCACAGAGAGAATTTGAAAACTATGGCTAGATTCTGTGCTTTCCAGACCGTGAAGATCCTGGCGGATAACAAATTTTCCTGGGACAGTATAACGGTAAGTTTGTCGCATAGTTACTTGGTAGCTCTGCTTTTTTTTTTTTAATGGTAGCATTCATGTATCCTAACCAGCATTTCTGGGTTATAAAACATGCAGATGTTGAGGTTCTACTATTCGGTTGATCTCTCGGTGGCGGCAGATGCAATATCAGGAGCATTTTCCGAGGCATTCGCCGAGCTTGCGGAAGACAACAGTTCCATGAGAACTGACAAAGTTCATTTCTACAACATTGTGCCGGTAGCCGGATCTGGACGCTCTGCATGTACGAACGATATAATGACATGCGAGTTACTGGCTTCCAACATTTCGAGTGCATAGTCCAAACCCAGTCTACACACGTATCCGAATTGTTCGCTGTGATGCCTGCTGGAATGCAGCTTTCATTTGGAAATCGGAGGTGCGTACATGTTGGAATTTCTGCCAGAGGAGCCGGCGGCCTATCAATTGCCAGCTGGACGACGGCAGTTAACCATTTTCTCTAGGGTTGGCAGCGGTAGCTTTCTGTGCTGATTATCGATAAAAAAATCGTGCGGTGATCATCATAGATACACCACACTGTATTCTGTTTCTGCTTTTGTTTCAGCATCCTATATATTGGGCTGATTAGCCCGCCCTGATGCTTGCAATGACATTGGCTCAGTATACAGTATACAGAGGTCCGGCAGGTCAGTAACGTGTGTATGCGTTCTTCCTCTGTGTTGACATTACTTGCTATGGAACATGTTGCAGTTGGCGGAATTGAAGCCGCGTAGCTTACCTAGTCACGCGCACGTCTCTTAGCGATCGGATGATCGGATCAGGGAAAAAATAGAAATGGGGGAACAAATATTCCATGATCTTCAAGTGGTTGACATAAACGAAATAACGATTTCCTTCTGACGATCTGACCAAATTGGGCAGATAAGCAGACTTAACAAAAATCTCTAATGGATCGGCAGGCAGTCACGCACATTCTGTCAACCTGGTAGTAAAACTGGGTCAGCCGCCGTCTGTGATTCTCTTCTCTGTATCTCCCGTCTCTCTCCTCCCTTCCCTTCCCTTCCCGGCTTCCCCTCGTCTCTCTCTCTCTCACATCCCCCTCCCTGCCCAAATTTAGCCGTTGTAGCTTCCGCCCTCTCTCTCTCTCTCTCTCTCTGCTCTCAGAACACGAAACGTGAAGAGGCAGAGGAGGACGAGGAGACGGTTAACCTTTCCCGAATCGGCCCCGTTCTTGGCCGCGAAGCGATCTTTCTCCCACCCGAGCGCGAGGAACTTCACTTGATCCTCGCATCTTCTTCCACTGGTTGCGTTTGCATTTGGGGGCAGTCAAGATGAGGCTCCTGGCCTGCTGCTACAATGATCCGGAGATGCAGATCGATCCAGACACCGTCTACCCCATCCGCCCCGACTGCCGCGACGACGCCCCCAAGACGCGCTTCAAGCCCCGGGTATTTTCCCCCCATCCTTTTTCTTTCTCCTTGTTCTTCTTCTTATCATTATTATTATTAGCTGCTCTACGGTTCCCATGTTTAGTGGGCGAGATCTAATTGGTACGTAATAAGATCTAGTTTTGGACTGGTGGTAGTCTTACTGAATGAAGTGGAACTGCTAGATAGCCAGACTGAAATAATGAATCAATCTAATGAGATATATTGGGTGACTGTTTCAGTCAGATTGAAGGCGCTTATGGGAGCGAATAAGTTTAACTAGTAGGGTAATTCAGAAACCTAAGGCCAATCTAGTGGTTACAGATGAATATGGAATGTCGAAAAATGATACCTTTTAATGAAATTTTCTGCTTTACCTGTCAAATCGAATTGCCAGGAATGCTGATGACTGAGATCAGTTGATGCCATGTATTGATGTACACTGATCGCTAGCTGCATTTTAATTGACTAGTTATTCATGAAGCGCCCTTTTGTTTCGTCCCTATTGGCAGCCTGGCCTGACCCTCAGTCCAAGGAGATGGAAGCTTCTCCACAATGAGGAAGGTGTTCTGGACATAGCTGGAATGATCAAAAGAGTGCAACATGGGGTAAGCCATGCTTTATCCAGATTCATTCATGACCTTTGTACTTCTTTCAGTGATATATGTCTCATACTCAGAAAGTTTACATGCATTTTGTGTTAGTAGCATACTGAAGTATAGAGCTGTTATTCAGGAGGCTGTTAAAACCATTGAGAATTTTTTCACGCAAATTTTTTTTAGAGTTCAAGGGTGGCCCCCGGCCTTTATATTGCAAAGACCAAACCGTTAAGCTCCTTACAAAATTCAAAGATAAAAAAACTCCAACAGAATCTCAGAAGGCCTCAACAGGCAAACAACCGTCCAGAATACCAGAACAACTACTAACATCATTACATCCCCCCGGCTTCCGCAACACTCGCAACACTAAACCAGTTTCTTTCACGAGCCAACCTTTCCAGATCAACTTCATTTGTCAGCAGAGCATCAGCTGTATTGATCTTCCAGCCTCTCCCAGATTGATATAAGATGCGATCCCATTCATCATTCACCTGACCAAGCCAGATAGACGGTGAGGTCTTGTGGCGAAACTTTTCAGATTGTCCAGGTGATCTAGAAATTCTGGGACTTTCTCCTTCGGACACAGAGGACTCCAATTTTGCAGCATTGCTGTTACCTTCATTATCAGCACCCGCACATTTACCCAGAGAGTCCCCTGAAAACACAAGCTGTTCCTTAGTTTCCAAAGCCCCCACAGGGCAACAGCACAAAAAATATTTTCCACTATGAATTTCCTATTACTAATCCACATAGTGCCAACAGAAACAAAATCTGTACCAACTTGTCTATTTAAGATCTCAGAAAGAATTGACCAAAGCTGTTTAGCTACTACACAGTTAAAAAATAAGTGATTGACAGTTTCAGCCTCTGAACAAAACAAACAAGTAGGATCCTTGATTTTCTTTCTGATACTCAAATTATCCCTAGTCAGAACCTTGTTTTTAGATAACAGCCACAGGAAAAAATGGACTCTAGGTGGGACCTTTAGTGCCCAAACAGCAGGAACAAACACAGGAGAAATACCCCTAAAATTAATGACTTTATATAAGGACTGTGAAGAGTATACACCATGAGAATTAAACTGCCATATTAGTGAATCTTCCTCATCAGTAAAGCTAATAGTAGAAGCTAACTGGACCACTTCTAACCAAAGATTGTATAATCTACCATCGACACATCTTCTAAAAGTGCATTTCAAATCAATACCATCCCACAGGGATGCAACCGTAGCATCCTTCTCATTAATTAACACGTAGATCTCCCAATATTGAATAGCTAGACTAGAAGTACCTAACCAATTATCTTCCCAAAACTTGCACTTCTTACCATTTCCTATATATCATCTATATCCCATTTTTGCTATAGAAGCAGCTCTCATCAAACCTTTAAAGAACTCAGAGGCTCCAGAAGAGGAACTATAAAAGATGTTAGGTCTATCAGTATTGTACTTGAAGTCTAAAAACTGTCTCCACATCTTATCACCATCTAGATTATACATTTTAACCCAAGAAGCTAAGAGACACAAATTTAAATCTCTCAAGTTAGGAACACCTAGGCCTCCATACTCTTTCATCATACTGACACTCTCCCAGTTGGCCAAATGAAATTTACGAGATGTGGGGCTATCATCCCATAAGCAATTACCAAGATGAGAGTGTATAACTCTAATGGCCCACTTAGGAAATTTAATAAACGAGAGTAAGTATACAGGAATACTAGCCAAACAAGACTTAATGAGAACTAGTTTCCCAGCGTAGGACAACAACCTACCGCTCCAACCAGCCATTTTCTTCAACATTTTATCAACTAAAGGCTGAATGTCCTCCCTACTAAGCTTCTCATAATGCAAAGGGACCCCTAAATATTTGATAGGTAAGGTACCAACCGGACAGGAGAACAAATGAGCAAGATTATGAACTGCTTCAAGTTCAACATTCATCGGAATTAACTCACTTTTATGAAAATTGATCCTCATACCAGACAACTGTTCAAACCAGATGAGGATACTTTTGAGGTTCCTAGTGTATTCCTCCTCAATTCTAGAAAAAAGAATGGTGTCATCTGCATACTGCAGAGACACAATACCGCCTACCCTAAAGTTTTTAGCTATCCCTTTAATGATACCTTTCTCAGCCCCCTTCTGGAGCATTTTTGTAAGAACATCACCTACTAGATTAAAAAGCAAGGGAGAGATAGGATCCCCCTGCCTTAACCCTTTCCCAGGTTTGAAAAAACTACTTTCTTCACCATTAAGGTTGACTCCCACAGAGCCTCCAATGACTAAATGCCTAATCCAAACAATCCAAGTGTTACTGAAACCTCTAGTCCTAAGGATTTCAAACAAAAAATCCCAAGAAACTCTGTCGTATGCCTTCTCATAGTCTAATTTCAGGATTAAACCAGGATCACCTGATTTATTAAGACTATGCACTAATTCATAGTCTAATTTCTCGCAAAATGAAGATTAGGAATCCCTATTGGATGTTCTTTTATGTTTTGACTTGCTCAACCTGTTCCATAAGTCAACACAAGGTTTGATGGGCAAAACCTAGTCATAGCCATTTACTGCTTTAACCAAGGACACCTACATGGCTACACACTCTTTTATGGAACTAACTTGCCTATACCTTATGACCTCTCCAACAGGCAACTATATGCATTCCAACCTCTGGTACCTTTCCTCAGTCTCACTGCTCAATTTCTTGTTCATTAATTTCTCCTTCTGGTTTTGCTTAACGTAGCAAGTTCACTTACATGGCTGCACTCTCCTTATAAAACAGGCTTAACCTTTTTTTTTTCTGAACGCAATGGCAGGAGCTCTGCCTTTCAATTAAGAAGAAATAGAATTGACCCATAAAACAGGCTTACCAATATCCTATGACCTTTCCAAGAGGTTACTCCATGTGTTCTAATATAGTCCTCTGTACATTTCTTCTTGTTCTTCTCAATGATGATTTTTCAATATGGTGTGTCCCTATTATGGCCTTCATTGCTAATATGTGTTATTTTTTTATGCCGAGAATCGTTACTATGTCATGTGATTCCTTAGATTCATTCTGCCATGGTATTGTCTTTATTTTTGGATGTGCAAACAGGGAGTCCACCCAACAATCAAAGGAGAAGTTTGGGAATTTTTGCTGGGCTGCTATGACCCTAAAAGCACTACTGAACAGCGCAACCAATTGCGACAGCAGCGAAGGTTTTTCTGCTGTTGCATTTTCCTTTTTGGTTTAAACATGCTTGTTCTTCTTCACGTCTAAAATATGCCAGTTTTAATTGCAGCACATCATTTTATATAACCAAGGAAAGCAGATTCCTTTTTTTTCTAAGAAAAAACTCTGGGCACTGCATCATGGCACACTGTTTTGTTCTTCAAGAAGTTCAGCACTGTTTTATGTGGCTCACGTACTATTGCAGTCTGTCTATTTACACATCATATCCAAAGATGAGGAATATACTGATTTTCTTATTTTGATAGGTTAGAGTATGAGCAACTGAAATCAAAGTGCCGAGAAATGGACACAACAGTCGGTAGTGGAAGGGTAATCACTATGCCTGTAATAACAGAAGACGGTCAACCTATCGAAAATCCTAACTCCGATGGAGGGGCAGCAGGTTCTGAACAGCAAAACAATGGCGCACCACTCCCAAAAGAAGTTATTGATTGGAAGCTTACTCTACACCAGATTGGTAAGCACTGTTGCTCTTTTTTCAGCATCTCCTATATCTATCATGGGCTTCCCAGAGCCTTTCGTCAAGGGGGAGGCAAGAGACAGAGAGCACTACCCCGTAAACCTGCCTATTCAGTAATGATATGTAATTCGGCCTGCGCGTGGGACAAGGAGGTAGCTAGTCTGCACTTGGGCTGCCCAAACGTCCCCTCCAATAGGCCTGGGATAATTAGGCCGATGACTGGTGTCTATAATTTTTATTTATCTAATTTTCCACTATTCAATTGTAGGTCTTGATGTTAACCGTACTGATCGTGTACTTGTTTATTATGAGAGACAAGAGAATTTGGCAAGGTTGTGGGACATTCTTGCAGTGTATTCATGGATTGATAAAGACATAGGTTATTGTCAGGGTGAGTTACGTTGTTGAAATAGATATATACAATGCTTTATCACGTTATACTTTGCTTAATGTGTAGTTGTTTGATCTTGCTTAATCCTCCTATGCAGGAATGAGTGATCTTTGTTCACCAATATCAATCATTCTGGAACATGAAGCAGATGCTTTTTGGTGCTTTGAGCGTCTAATGCGCAGGGTGGTAAGTACCCTTGCATACTTAACCTTTTATTCATTGAACATGAATGTACATATCCTTGATTGCATTCTGCTAACATACTGTATAGTAAACTTTCAGTTGATTTTTTTTTGGTATATGTGATGTAATGACATTATAAGACCGAGAAGTTAGATACTACAGAGCTGCACTTGTAACACAATAAGTCAAGATGGTTATTGTACGTTACATTAATCAGCGTGCTTGTCCTTCTGCCCCCCCCCCCTCTGTGTGTACGCGCGCATAAATTAGCATGGCTACTGTGTAGCATATGTCCCTAATTTGGCTTTGCTTAATGTTAAGCTGCGTGAATTGGTCCTCAGGATTTCTTTGCCAAAAAACTGTCAGACATGTATTTAATAAAAATAACAACAGAACACCAGGCTTGAATCCATGTTAGGTAGCTATTTGATGTACTCCAGATATTAACAGAAAAAAAAACTATGGTCTTCTAGGCCACGCAACACATATACAATTCTGGAGTATGTAAAAGCCTGAGTTTCTACCTTCTAACTATGCAGCGAGGAAATTTCAAAAGTACTTCTACTTCCATTGGAGTTCGAGCTCAACTGACTACCTTGTCAACCATAATGAAATCTGTTGATCCAAAGCTGCATGAACATTTAGGTACAATCACTGGAGCTACATGTTTACTCAATGGCTCAAAGAAAACAGTATCTACATTTTACAGTAAGGGAGCATGTATGTATGCTCTGATAAAATATTGTCTATGCAGAGAATCTTGATGGAGGGGAATACTTATTTGCCTTCCGAATGCTGATGGTTCTTTTCCGTAGGGAATTCTCGTTTGTTGATACGATGTACCTTTGGGAGGTAAGTTGTCTGGACAAAGAAATTATAATAAATTTTATAAGTAATGCATATTCTTAACAATTCAATCTGGGTACCACTAATATCAAATCATTACTTTTGTTATACTTCTAAGCATAGACCCAGTAATGCTAGAAATATGTATTGGTTTATGCATGAAACACTACTGTACAACTTCAAAATGTTGCAGCTCATGTGGTCTATGGAGTACAATCCAAATCTCTTTTCAATGTTGGAGAGTGGCACTGGCACATCCAGCGCAAACACAAAGGATGAAAGTGTTCTAGGACAGTGTGGAAAGTTTGAGCGGAAAACATTGCAAGCAGCTAAGAAAGATGACCAGATCCCTCTATCTGTCTTTGTTGTTGCTAGTGTTATAGAGGCTAGAAACAAGAAGTTACTGGGTGAGGCAAAAGGTCTAGACGATGTTGTCAAGGTCCTCTCTCTCTCTCTCTCTCCCTCTCTCTCTCTCTATGATGATGATGAAAGAAATTTATGTTGTGTATATGTCGCCCTGCAAACAGATTTTAAACGAAATCACTGGTAGTCTGGATGCAAAAAAGGCATGCAGAGGAGCATTGCAGATTCATGAGAAGTACCTTAACACGGTGAGTTCTTTTTTATTCATAAAAGTCTTAAACAACATATAGTCACGCCACAGTATAACACAGTGAGAAGTTCAAAATAATCACAAGCTTCCTGATTGCAGGTAAAAGCATCATAAGGACATGTACAGCTTTTTTTTTGGATGGGCTTTTTTTTTTTATTGGAGAAGTCGTACCACAGAACTTTTTTCATTCTTTGTTTGTGTATTGTGTAATTCTTTGACACACTTGTGGCATTGCATTTACACAACAAAAAAAGAAAGGTTGATGATTTCATTCAAAAAGGAAAAAAGAAGAAGGAAGAAAAGAATGTTGATCTTGTAAAGATGCGAGGCAAAATGTTTATACCATAATAAAGTCATCATGATTCTTTTCTGCTTGTCGTCAGTTCTCATACTGCAACAAGTTAGTTCACCTTGTTTGAACAATATGTGGTACTTTGAAGATAAATGTTACTGTATGACTGTATACGGGTGCATTGTGGGTCTTGAAAAGACCTACTATTTCATTGTATTTAGCCAAAATTTCTCCCAATTCTGTAGCTTTCTGTGTTTTGGACAAGTAAAGTAGAAACCAAAGTGAAATTACAGGTAAATGGAATCGGAGCGAGGCCTTTGTGGTCTAAAATCAAACGAGAAAAATGGAAAATATGAAGAACCCTCAAGTCCTGCAAATATCGTATTTCCTATGTAAATATGAAACTGTGCAATATAATGTATGATCTACCCATTTTCCTAAAACAGGGGGGCAGGGCCTCTGTGTGCAGTAAGTTAAGATCATCTTGGTGCATTGAATCTCAAATCACACCATGTATTATGGTATGGGACTGACCAGAATCAAAATTCACAAGTAATTTAGCAATTTGTTGGCTTTATCAGTCGTAACTCGTAACTAACATGCTATATATGGGAAATGGTAATACGAGAGGTTGTGATTGAGAGCCTGATGATTTTCCACCTAAGGTGATGACTCCTGATTCTTGAGCTTGAGCAGTACCCAACATCCGTTCCCGTCATTTGCGTTGCGGACAAGTTGAACAGAGCCACGCATGGCCTCTCAAACTGGACTGCCTCGTGATGAACTGCAAACAAGGGAACATTCACCAAAAATAGTGCACTATAAATAGATTGGACGCAACAACTTTCATCCCTTCCATGTCTCCAACTAAGAAGGTGGGAAATCTAGGCCGGCCTCTCGTGGACCTCTGGAGGGGACTGCAATTCTGCTAATTTGTGACAGATCATGCAGGAACAGGAGGCCAGGAGAATTTCTACAACCACGATGAAGATGGCACCAGGACGATGAAATCCCGTCGACCGGATTATGTAGCTCCTTGAATGTTGCTTCCTCAGGTATGTGAGCTTCATTCGATGGGTCTGATAATTCTTCTGATAACTCATTTTGCGGGTTCTCATAATGAGCATTCATTGCTGCGTGGTGGATGGATAAAATTTCTCAGCATTGTTGGCAATGACTTCATGCATGGCATCATTGATCTGCATGGTTCTATTATAATTTATATATAAACTCAATATTCAGGCTAACAACTGGCCATTTCTAGGATTTCTTTCCCCTCATGTTGTTTGACAAATCGCATCATGTTTTTACAAACAAATTTTCTAGAATGGCACAGGACCTTGGTCGTTCTAGTTCAAACAAACTAGACAGAGAACTGTTCGTGCATTCTTATGATTTGGTATATGTTCCTTTCCTTCTCTCAACATTGTGACCTACCTGTGAAAGGCAAGTTCAAGAGTCGGAGGACGCAAATACGTAAGTGGTGGATTCCTCTCAGGGCACCGCGGGCGGGCAGCCGCCTGTGGAACCTGCTAAGATGAAGGGCCTTCTCAAGGGTCTCCGATACATCTCGCAGATTTTCGGTAAGCACAGTCACCAACCTAGTATACTACAATGTTTTTCTTCCAAAATGTAATTTCCAATGTCACCCAAATGGAATGTGTTTCATAGCACAGTTCAAATCAATGCAATGGAAATGTAGGAATAGAACCAGAATGTGGGTGTTGTAATTAAGATGTTTACCTTGTCTGCTGTGCGGGTGTCGCAGATGCGAAGGAGCCGGAGATGCAGATCGGGAAGCCGACGGACGTGAAGCACGTCGCGCACATCGGCTGGGACAACGCCTCCGTCACCGCGCCCAGCTGGGTAACCGCTTCGATTCCACCGGCGATCACGCCATTCCGGTGCACCACGCACGTCCAATCTCCAACTAACGGCTCCGGTTGCGCGTGTGCTGCAGATGAACGAATTCAAGGCTTCGCCGGGGACGGCGAAAGGCGGCGATCCTGAGCCCTCGCAGCCCGGGGGGTCGGGAGGATGCGTAGAGGAGCAGACCGGAGGAGGAGGAGGAGGAGGAGGAGGAGGAGGAGGAGGAGACGCTGGCGGCAAGGCGGAGCGGCCGCGGCGGACGAGGGGAAACAAGGGGTCGGGTGGCAACGAGCCAGCGAAGCGGCGGGACTGCGCGGCCGAGGGGTCGCGGCGCGACCGGCGGGCTGCGAAGGCGGCGGGCACGGCGGAGGGCGCCGAGGGGGACGCTGCGGCGGCGCCGAAGCAGCGGCGGAGGAAGCCCCGGGCTGCGTCGGGGGGCAGGTCCAAGTCGTCGTCGGGAGGCGCCGCTGCCTCGGACTCGGAGGCGGCGCGGCCGGCGGGGGCGCCACCGGAGGCCGAGGACGATCGCGACGGCTGCTGAGGCCTGACCGCCTGAGGCGGAGGAAACGGCGGCCGCTGGGAAAGTGTGGCGTGGCGCGGCGGCATTGCTAGCGTGGCCGCGCGCCGTTGCGCGTTGGGGTTCGACTGGTATAAACGGAGGGAGGGAGGGGCGTCTTCAAATTTGAATTTGGTTTTGCTTGGCTGGATCGGAGAGATTTGGACCTTTTTTTTGTGTTTTCTCTTCTTTTTATTTATTTACGTTGGTTTTGGACTGGTCATTTCCATGCACGGATTAGTGCTATTTAGGATAGTCGTGCAGCGTAGAGTGGCACGACAAGTGTATGTATAAAACAGTTGTACACATAGGGCCCGTTCGCTCGGAGGAATTCTGGAGGAATTTGGATGGTTTGGAGGAATACTGGAGGAATTTGTGAGAGAGAAACACTATTTCGGATGAAAAAAGAAGCGGATCAAACTGGGAATTTAAAGGCACACGAACGGGACCATAATTCCTTTAATTTACACTCAGGGATGCATTTGCAGGTGATGGTTCCGGTTCGTAGCTAGGGCGTAACGAGCGAGACATTGTCCTCTTGTTCCAGACCCTCTATGGTAAGCAGGAATTTTATATGAATCCTGTAGAATTTTCATGTAAAATCACTTAATTTTTTTTAAGAAAAATCTCACATTGCAAAGGGCCTAAGAGATGTGAACGGAGGGTAGTTCCTGGTAGAATAGAATCTAATCATTGGAGTTACATTCTAGAGTCTAGGCTTGAAAAGTCAGTCTGAGATTTAACATTGTTGCGTTTTTAATATATTTATTTCAAGAATAGACGACATTACTTTTTTTTCAGTTAGTTTGAAGGGTAAAATGCCAATAGGTAGTGAAGTGTCTATAGTAACCTTATCAGTCTTAGCATATACGGGCCATTCTCTCAAGGTTCCGCACAGAGATCAAAGAGTACTTGAGTTTGTAAAGCTAAATACTCCGTCTGTCCAGAAATAACAAGCGTATTTGATTTGAGGCAACCTTAAATTTTACAATTTTGACCAATAATTAGTCAAATTATATATAAATTTAGGATGTAAAACTTACATCTATAAATTTCTCTCCAAAAGTGGCTCTCGGATGATATTGATATTTCAACAATTTTTTCATATTATAAAAGAAACTAAAAATCAATATCTTTTTGTACGACTTTTTCCTCTAGTAAAAAATGGCCATCATTCTTGAACGAAGGGAGTAGGTAATTGTGCTAGCATGTATATGTAAGAGCATTTCAAAACAGAGCTGCTAGCGTCGGCGTCCGATCATGGCGCTCGCGCCTGCGCCTGCTTCACGTGGGGGCTCTGCGCCGCTATGTTTACCGTGCAAACCACGCCCACATGGGGCCGCGTCTCAATGTGCGCCTGCTCTGTTTCCCGCGCATGCTGCTCATGCCCCCCTCCACTCCCACACACATGCACGGGGCCTAGCAGCTGCATGAAGGTGGCTGCGGCAGGTGGGTCCCATTACAACACGTGCAACACCAGATCTACTTTTACAACATTCAGATGAAATATTTGCAACATATGTCTAAAAACAGATAAAACATTTGTGATATACACTTGAAACACCATTGCAACATGTCCAACATCCCGATCTACTTTTAAAACATTCAGATGCAACACTTGCAATATACAAAAGAAGACAGATGAAACACTTGAAACATGCTTATAAAAACACTTGCAAGAAAACACTTGAAAGGCCATTGCAAACATACGTAACATCTAGATAAAGCACTTGCAACATATGTGTGCAATATATGCAACCTTCAGATAAACACACTTGCAACATCATCTGAAAAAAATCAGATGAAACATTGGGGATAGACGCTTGCAACATACGTGTACAATCATTGTAACATATGCAACATCATGATATACTTTACAACATCCATATAAAACACTTGCAACATACTTATTATCGGGGTTATAACCCCGGGGTGTCTTAAGGCATCAATTAGTTAGCGAGCGAGCGGCCCATAACACATCAGTTAGCGAAGGCCCGAACGACCAAGGCCCAGCTAAACCAGGTGAACCGGGCGAACGCTAAGGACGAGGTCAACCACGACCCCTCCCTCGCGCCTTAGCTACACGACGCTGGAAAGGCGCACGACCTCTACTCCATCACGACCCCTGGAAGGAACGGAGAGAGGTCGAGCCCAACCAAGCGTGCCTGCTCCGACAGGAACAAGCACGCCGCACTGGCCCCGCAAGGACTGAGGGGACAACAGTCACCTCGGTCTGGTCAGATACCATCCCCGTGCCACAACGCACAGACAAGATAATACCGTCCAAAGCGGTGACGACAGGTACGATGACCATCGGCCAGATACGGCCCAACGAGACAAGAGTATGATCCTACCCACTACGGGATGGGATCCACGACGAGGGCCTCAACTCGGAGGCCATCCAGGCTGGCGAGAACCACGACCCCAACGATAGGGATCGTGGCCCCCCACTCCTCGAGACAACAAGGCAACCAACGACTCGGGGGCAGCCACCAACTCCTGTACGACGCTCTAGGAAACCAGGAGACGACGACGAAGACCACGGTGGAGACCATGTTGCACAGGACAGCCAACGAGCTACCATCGTGCCTATAGTGCCGCCACGACCGGCACAGTAGCACCACGCCACACCATGCCGTGACGTGGCCACAAGACCATGACGACAGCCACACCTGGACGACCTCTCAAGACGGCGTAGCTCGCAAGCCAAGTTAGTTAGGACCTCTCTCAGGCTCATGACCCTTCGGTCGGGAGAACCTATCGTAGCAGGGCTCCTGAAGCTTCTCTTCAGGCTGCCCGTCACCTAGCGTTGGTTCTTCTACCTCGTCTCCACCATTCTTGCACCCCCCATTGTAAGAACTTCAAAGCATTTAAGTGAGGAACACGCACTCGATCATCTCTGAGACTGGACATAGGGCTCCGGCCTGAACTAGTATAAATCCTCGTGTCTTTTGGATGCTACCATTATCTTTCTAGAGCAGTGCGACAATCGTATAAGTTTACTAGGCCGGTTTACGAAACACCGACACCAATAAAACATTTAAAACATTTGAATTGTACACTTGAATGTACATATGGGTTATTGCTGTTTAGGATAGTCATGCAGCGTAGATTGGCACGACAAGTGTATGTATAAACAATTATACACATAATTCCTTCACACACAGGGATGCATTTGCAGGTGATGGTTCCGGTTCGTAGCTAGGGCGTAACGTGACATTGTCCACTTGTGCAGTCCCTCTATGGTAGGCAGGAATTTTATATGAATCATGTAGAATTGTCATGTAAAATCACTTCGTCTTTTAAGAAAAATCTCACATTCCAAAGGGCCTAAGAGATGTGAACTGAGGGCAGTTATATTCCTGGTAGAATATAATCATCTGAGTTGTGTTCTAGTAGACTTACACACGTTAGTCTGAGATTTAACATTGTTCCATTTACCATTTTAATGCATTTATCTAAAAATGCAAACAGGTAGTGAAGTGCCTGTAGTAACCTTATCAATCTTAGGATCTATTAGTCATTCTCTCTAAGTTTGTAATCTATCTAAAAATGGTAGGCATATTTGATTCGAGGAAAAGTCAAATTTTACAATTTTTAACCAATAATTAGTCAAATTATATACAAATTTAGGAAATGAAACTTACATGTATAGATTTATATTCAAAGTGGCTCTAAGATGATGTTGATATTTTAACAATTCTTTCATATTATAAGAGAAAGTGTCAAAATCTTTTTTTACGACTTTTCCTCTAATCAAATATGCCTATTATTAATGGATGAAGGAAGTAGATAATCGTGCTAGCGTGTATGTAAGAGTGTTTCAAAAATGACCATAAGAGATGTTACATGAAGTTTATTCCTCATTCTCACATTGCCTTCATGAGATCATTGCCTTGAACCGGTGTCAAAACAAATTGATAAAACATTTTACCGTGGGCATTATTTCCTTTCAGAGTGGAGCATATAAATTTGGGAAAGTACATGTCGTTCTTCTAATAGGAAGAAGTCATTTTTGTGTCCTTCAACTTTCATCAATGTTTAGGTTTTGTCCTTAAACTCCAAAACCGGACAAATTATCTTCCTCAACTAACAAAATTATTTACTTTACCTCTCTGCCCCAAGTTAGAAGTGGCTTTTCAAGGTGGTTTCATTATTTTTAATTAAAAAATCTAGTTACACCTAATTATATCTAGGAGCTTTATGAAATTAGATTTAGCGCTAGGAAGATAATAAAAATATCCCAAAATATCCAAAAACATTATAATAAATGTTTTAAACATGTTGCATTTTTTACTATAAAAATATGCATTCATGCAATTTGCATATTGTGTTTTTACTGTAGAAAGTTCTTAAAATGCATGTGGCATTGGTTACTCTAAAGATTTAACTCTTGTTTTTTCTTGAAAGTTTTAGAAACTCATAAATATTTTTAGTGGTTGAAAAAACTAATCAGGTATTTACTTGATTTTTTTATAAAAACTAGATGATACCCTGCGCGTTGAAATTTGTAACATTACATGTCTATAATATTTGATGAAACATAGTGCATTTTGTGATAGGTACAAAAGTCAAAAGGATATATGGAAGTTATAAAAATCCCATGTAGTATACAATGAAGGCAACCATATTAAACATGTACTTTAGACTGAAAAAGGTTATTAGTTAAAAGCTCTAGTTTGGTTTTGGTGAATTGATGAAACCCTAGGTGCTAACCCTTTACTCTAAGTGATCATGAGATATGTTAGTACCATTCTAAGTGGTGGAGCATTTGAAGTCCAAGATGATGTTGTTGGACATGTGATGATGATCAAGCTCGGATTTGGAAAAGAAGAAAGAGAGAAACAAAAAGCTAAAGGCAAATGTATAATTGATAAGAGCTCTTTGTTTTGGTGATCAAGACACTTAGTGAGTGTAATCACATTTAGGATAGATAGCCGTACTATTAAGAGGGGTAAAACTCGTCGTGAAATGTGGTTATTAAA